CCTGAGCCTCAACTCTCGCGGCCCGGTACCAAACGACTCACGGACCGGTATCGGTCCGAGGCCCGGGGGTTGGGGACCGCTGCACTAAACCATTAACAGCTGCCGATTGCTACAAAACATACAAATGCGAGTTTGAGTCAGCTGGTTTCTCAGATCATTAAACCAACATTTGACCCTGTGTCACAGCACCAAGCTGTGGCTTTCAGTCAGGTGGGACTCGGTGGAGCTTCAATTAATGAATTCATAAAATGTAAGAGAAGAGAAACAATAAATCAAGTGGATTCTTTATAAAATAAAAAAAATTGTTAAATTAAAAAATAATTGTTTTTTTATGATAAAATACACAATTTCCCGTACATCTGTGGACTGATTAATCGACTCGATTTGGATTTCTTTCCAGCTGCACTGAAGCTGTAGCTACGTTAGCGATTGCGTCATTATTCTGCGACTACTCACGTGTTGACAACAGAGAAGTGCAGACTGGAAGCAGCTACTGATCAGGTATGTTTCTTTTGGGTCAGTATATGAACAGGGTCCACAGATTCGTCTCGTGGACCTTTAACCGGCGATGTTAATTTTGACCCGCGGGTCCGTTTCTGTCACGTGATCTTTTAATTCAGCTTTGAAATGCCGCTTTTCCCTCGGTGTGAGGACAGTAACCCTAAAGAAAAGAAATGTTCTCCAAAGTTTTGCGTCAAGGGACAGGAAATGAGGGGCATCACCTTACACATAAGGTGAAAAAAAATAAGGATGAACCTAAATGTGTCTATCAAGTCAAAACAAGCTTACAATGTAAGCGTAAATGTAAAATCACAGTGTAACAGGTGGAAAGCAGTCAGACTGAGACAGGATGTGAAATGGGGAGACCCATTGTTACGGATGTCTGGTGGGAAGGAGTTCCCGAGGCTCTAAACCAATGGTAGGAGATCTATAAGTGCAGATGTGTGTGCGGGCATGCAAAAATTCATGCTGCATACAGCCTTAAAGATATTACTACAGTATTTAAGTCAGTGGAGCTGCTGAAGGAGTGTGACGTAACTAATGGAAGGAGTTCTGGACCAGTTGAAGTTTAATGGGCTTCAATTCAATTAAATTGAGTTTTATTTATAAAGAGCCAACAACCACAGCAACAGTCACCTTAACTGACTTTATATTAGATGGTAAAGATCCCACAGCAATACAGAGAAAACCACAACAATCAGATGACCTCCTTTGAGTAAGCACTTGGCGACTGTGGGAAGGAAAAACTCCCTTTTAACAGGAAGAAGCCTCCAGCAGAACTAGGCTCGGGGAGGGGAGGGGCGGCCATCTGCCATGACAGGTTGGGAGTGGGGCTTGAGAGGAAGACCAAAAAGAATAGAGTTACAGTAATCAGTATGGGACATAACCAAGGTGTGAACAAGGATGGCAGTACTGTTAGGTGTGAGAGATGAACGGAGGCGATGAATGTTACAAAGTGTGATGTCACTGATGTGTGCTTGAAACAAAAGTGTGCTGTTAAGAACAACACCCAGACTCTTGACCTGTAGTGAGGCAGAAACTGAGGAAAAATTGTTACATTTTTAAACAAAGTGCAGTTTTAACACTGGTCAGAGTGCTGTTGGAGATTTGACTTCCTAGAGGCAAACACAGATGGCGCTGGGTACATGAGTGCTGCTAGGTTTGGTAGACAGGTGTCAGCATAACAATGGAAACTAATGTTAACTTAATGGAAGATATAGGAGAGTCAGAGTCAGAGAGATAGGATTCAAACCAGTTTAAAGGTTTGTCAGTGATTCCAGTAGAAGCTAGTCTGTCCAGAAGGGTGTTATGGGATATAATATCAAATGCTGCACTCAGATCAAGAAGGTTAGTAGTCCGGAGTCAGCTCCTATGAGGTGATCATTAGAGATTGTAGACACAGTGAGATGCTGAAATAGCCTTTCTCTGGAGTGAATGTTATTTAGATTAAAGCCACATTTATCTTTGTTTGATTACAACCCTATGAGCAAACAGCTAATACCCCTTTTAAACAGAGGGTCTGAATAGTGGGTGGGTGAGATTTCCTAGCTTACAGAACCAGTAGATGCCTGAGATATCCCCCCTCTGTGACCTTTCAAATATTCAACAATAGAAAAAGTGTTTGAAACTGAGTGTTTGCAGCGGTCTGCTCAGCTTTGGCTGCTCGGGGATTCCTGAAACATACGCTGACAAATAACCATGTTTTTTACAGTATGACAGCTTACAACAGTGCATCTAAAGAGAAAATCGTCAAAAGAATATACACGCAATAACCAGAACTTTCTTCCTTCCTCTTCCGCTCATCTGCATTGTCCTGCTCCTTCAGCCATGAGCGACAGCGATGACGACGTTCCCACTCTGTCAGCTCACACTCTGGCCGCCCTGCAGGAGTTTTACAATGAAACAAAGGTTGTTACGGATCACAGCGCTGCACCCACAGACCAGTTTGCCGTGGGAGCCGTGGAGGAGGACTGGGTGAGTTTACTGTGTTTTGTGTTTATTTTTAAGAAGTTCAACTATTAAAACAAGACAAACCATTAATAATCACAAGGATGACCAATTCTAAACCAAATTTGCACAAAAGAGTGAAACAGACCTTTTTATTCGGAGGGTTTAATTCAGCTCATTGTCAGTAAATCGCAGTAATGTGACGGACTTAATGAAAAGTGAATGTCGGTAACAGATGTCTGTCTGTGCATGTCCACCAGCGGATGAGCCAGTTCTGGTACAGCGACGAGACAGCAACACAGTTAGCCGAGGAAGCGGTACGAGAGGCTGGAGAGGGAGGAAGGTAAAACCTCGCACACCCACATGAACACGCTGCTCGGATGTCATTAGCTGTTTTTCATTTAGTGAAACAGGATAAAAATACGCTTGAGTTCTGTGACCATGTAGAATCGACGTTTGGTTTTGCTGATTGGCGAGCACCTTGTGTTTTGTGCCTCCTTTCCTCTCAGGATAGCATGCCTGAGCGCGCCCAGCGTGTACCAGAAGCTGAAGCAGGGTGTGGTGGACGGTTCAGATCGGGTGTCTGCCGTGGTGTTGGAGTACGACCGCCGCTTCGCCTCCTACGGAGAGGACTTTGTGTTCTACGACTACAACGAGCCGCTGTCTCTTCCGGACAGCGTGTCTCCTCACAGCTTCGACATCGTCCTCGCTGACCCGCCTTACCTGTCCGAGGAGTGTCTGAGCAAAGTGACCCAAACCATCAAATACCTGAGCAAAGGCAAAGTGCTGCTGTGCACAGGTGAGACCCAAACAAGCGCTGATGATGGCACATAAGTAGTTTCCTCACAGAGCGAAGCCTCTGATCATCGTCTAACAACACAGTCTGTCTGTATGAGTCAAGAATAAATGCTAGCTTCTTTCATGTCACAATGAACGCGCGGCACAAGCTGCTAAAAAAAACTAGATTAGATGTGAAATTTAGTATTAAACAGGTTTTTTTTGGTGTGTTCTTAACATCTGGTGTTTGCGGTGTTTCTCAACAACAGGAGCCATCATGGGGAATCTGGCAAAAGATCTCCTGGATGTAAAAATGTGCAGCTTTTTGCCCAAACACAACAGGAACCTGTCCAATGAGTTCCGCTGCTTTGTCAACTACCCGTCCCGCCTGCTGTCCTGCTGAGGAGCCGGGTGTCCATCAGATCGACGCTTCGTTCCGAGCACATGGAGGAGGGACGACACGTGGACGTTTTGCAGCGAAAGCCAGCCGCAAGACACGTAATTTTAAAGGGGGAACTCCAACCATCTCACATGAAGATCAGCGCTCTCTTCACGAATACACAGAGAATGGAAAAAGATAATCCCAGTGTCTCGCCGTCATCCTGATGTCTGGGCTTTGGTTTGATGACTGCAAGTTTGTGATTCAGACTGGTTGCGGGAACTTTTGAAGACATGGACTTTATTTCAAGACCAAAGGTTGAACAAAAAGATGATAAGAGGCATTATGGTTCATGTAAGCTTCAGTGTTTTTCATGGTTTATTCATACAAGAGACTAAAAGTTGGGTTAATCACTGTTTTTAAATGCTACACTGCTCGAGTAGCTTTTAAGTAATAAATCTGAAAGATTACTGTTAGTTATTTAATCTGACTAAATCATGAAAGACTTTTGGTCAGGTCAGCTCTGTCAGGTGGCAAAATGAGCGAGGAGAAGAAAAGAGTTCACGAGAATAGATCACCCCAGTCAGCAAACACCCAGAAGGGTGACGACTACATCAGCTGTTTAGTATTAAAGAGGCAAAAAAAGAGGCAGCAGGAACAACTTTTTCTTTTTCTAAACAACTTATTTTCTAACCGCTCAGAAAGCTCAGCTGTTAAACAATTGGGCTCTACTGGGAAACATACAAGTGTTACTTTCTTGTACAGTTACCCAGATAAGTGAGGTAACAGTCGTAAATATTTAATGTTTGCTGTTATTAAAGTGTCTGAATAACATGAAGCGTGGGCTTGTTGCTCTGATCACCTGAGAAAGTTGTAGTTGTTGTACAGCAGCAGGTGGCAGCATTGATCAGCTCATTCAGAAGTGAGGCCCTCTGTTGTTGTTTGCTTTTGTTTTGAAAGGTCTGGATCACCTAAATAACAACTACCTCCCTTTTTTTTTACTGCAGCTTGTCATGCAGAGGCAAAACTATCTGCGTTACTTGATATGAGAGTTGCTAAATAAAACATGTGCCTCTGTACTTTTGCCAGAAGCAGACCTTCAGTTTTTATGGTGTAGTATTTGTCAAAGTTTCATTCAGTTTGTTGGAAATCTGAGTGTGTTTGTCCGATACACAGATGGTTGTGTTTTAATTCTGAACTCAAAGGTTTGTATTAGTCTTGTGTCGGTCGATCTGTCTGCTGAAGCTCTGTACGAAACTTTTCTTTTTAAGTGACATTTCCAGAGGCTTCCGTTTCAGACATAATCCCTTAAACTGTTTCAAATGTTCTAGCACGAGCGAATCAGCTGATTCAAACAAAAGAAAACTTCTCTGCAGCAGCAGTGCTGCTTCCGTCATGCTTCCTTTCTTGGAGTAAAGTGCTTCCTGGCTTTAGGCTCTCTCCTCTGCAGGCTCTGGTTGCTCTTCTTCGGCCTCTTCTCCAGCAGCGGCACACAGGTGCATCCCACGGCTATGGAGACGTAGATCTCGGTGTAAGAGTGGCGGCCGCCGACGCAGGAGCCTGTTCTCCTCAGGATGACGGAGGGAGCGTAGACCAGGGTGCTGCGATACTGACTGCTCTCCTCGCCGTACGGTCCGATCAGGCAGCCCTTGCACAGGCAGTAGGCCTCGGGGATGTAGCGGGGATATCTCTTTGGGTCGTATGAGATCCTGAAAATGTATTTAATATGTTCAATGCAATGGCAGAAACAGTTTGGTACATCAACTGTATATATAAACAAGATATTTTGGTTTTGTGCATTTTCCTGGAAAAAAAAAAGAACCATGCAAAATTTCTTGTGACAAAATCTGAGCTCTCAGAGAACTTCTACTGATGTCATCCCTCCCTTTTCCTAATATATTGGATATTGGATGGAGCCCCAGCTGTTAAAGGGCAGGAGGCCTTACTAGAAAAGCGAATAGACTACAATAGTGTACTTCAAGAAAATTTGGGTGGCTATACCTGCACAAATATAACCTTCAAGTTCAACACAAGTTTGTAAATAAATCCTGAACAATCAGCAGCATGTTTTGTAGGCTGAAGAACTAACAGAACTTTCTGGACACAATAACTAAAAAAGGAATCTTGGAGGAAAATAAGGAGACAAAGGGACAAACGGAACTAAATGCACTAAATGCCTGTAAGAAGTTTACAGAATGACTGCTGTAACAGGATAACAACACAGTTTATGCTTCCCGAGGGTCTAGAAGCAGAAGGTTTGGCCGGCATTCGTCCCAGAGCAGAGCGTGGAAGATGGCCCAAGAATTTCCCAGAGTTAGAAGCCTTCTGCGGGAACAAATAAATGCTCCAAACAAGAACTGAAAGGCTCAACTGCTACGCAAAGTGTTTCATAGAGCAGCTGTCATTTTGCCAAAGGAGGTGTTAATGCTTTGGCAGAAGAGATCATTGTCTCTGTTCTTTGCAGATGGTATTAATAAAGCAGTCTGGCTCAGATATTTAAGAAAATGTTACTGTTGACTTTATCCATTTACTGTCAAAGCTGTCATGGTCACTGTTCACACCTCACCAGTTAACCTAACCCATTTTTAGGCTGTGGGAGGAAGTCAGAGTACCCGGAGAGAGCCCATGCACACCAGAAAATACACTCAACAATCATCAGCTGTTAGATGTTTTACTTTAATAAACCTAGTTTTTCTAAAAGGACAAAATCTGATATATCCAGAGAGAATGTGGGTAGAACTTAAAAGGTTGAATTAAACATAAGAAACCGTGTGCATTGTTTAGTTGAGCTGCTGCGTTTCTGTCGCTTATATGAGATTAACATAGTACTTCAGTAGCCTGTTTTGATATTTTCTGCTTTATGTCAAAGTCTGTTCAAAAAAGTATATTTCATGTATTTGTTTAGCATTAAAGGCAATCAGAAAGTTGCCGGTAGCCGTGATGATGTAGGTACTGTGAAAGCGCAACGCCTTTCAGGACACGTTTCATTTCACTGCGTGTTGTACTCGTGTAATTATGTATGTGACAAATAAAGAATCTTAAAATATCTAATTTAATTATACCGTGAATCCACGGCTGACAAAGTCTGTTCTGTTATTTAAATATAAAATATGTGATGCACGGGTTTCTTTCTTCCAATTGTTTCTAAATCATAATACATCCCAATAAATGTTTTTATCGCCGCCTTATCGCTATTTTAAGCATAGCGGTGTCCCGTGATAGCAGATGTGAAACGTAAATGCTTTACTGGCACCGGATAAGTGTCCCTCTTGCTCTCACCTGTAGGCCCAGGGGGAGATGCTGAGCAGGTTGACCGGGAGGCGGGTCTTGCCGTCGGTCGGGACCCGTGCAGTGGTGGGGCAGGTGAGGTTAAGTTTGTCCTGCGGCTCCAGCTGCAGAGCGTGATGGAAAGCGCTCATCACTCCCACCGAGAGCCGTCCAAAAATCTCCTCCAACTTCTCCTCCGGCATGTCCAGGCAGGACCGCGTCCTGACGGTCTTCTTTCTGACCCGGGTCGCTGCTGCCGGCCGACACAGCGACAGCAGCAGTAGTAGCAGAACGTGGACTCTGTGGGGCATCTCCGCGTTTCTTCTCAGGATGTTGCTGTGCCCAAGTGCGCATCCACCGAAAAACGAAAGTTTCCTTTGCGTTCTTAAATAATGCTTCTGAGAACAAGTGACGTTTGTTCGTAAAAACAGATTTGATCGTTCACGGGTTACTTTCCTCTGTTAAAATCCAGCAAATAGTTGGAAGTGCTGGAAAGCCAGCAGCACGCAAACGCTCCACGATCCTGGCGCTGAAGGCGAGGAACAGGCGCGCCACCAGGAAAACTGCAGAGACATTTTTTGTTTTTTGGCACTACACATCCACGGCGTCGCCAGGAGGAATAATTGCCAAATAATTTGAAATTTTCTAACAGTTTGTGAGTGTCACACCTGCTGCTTTGTGTCCATGACGAGAAGACACGACAGAGGAGTCTCTGGTTCTCATTTCTCCTGCGACGTGTGCGTAAAACCCCGACTGAGCGCTGAGGCGGTCTGATGCAGCAGCCAGAGAGAGGCTCAGTTACACTGAAGCACTGGCAGAAAAAAATATCCTGCCTGGACCCCAATAAAAAAAGAGCCCAGCGTTTATTAGAGGAGATCCTGATGCGAGTGGGAAGTCCAGCCTGTTGGATGTGGATCCTGGCTTTGCACCATCTCCACCCCTTAGACCAGAGGTGTCAAACATAAGGCCCGGGGGAGGCAGCAAAGACTCCAGTCCGGCCCACTGCTTTAGTAAATGTGACGGAGAGCTTAAATTTCTGGACTTTTATATGTGTTTTCATAAGTTTTTTCACTATTGACTATAAAATGAGATTTCTGTTTTTGTCACAATAAAAGAACATTTCCCGCGAGTTTAGTTTATAATTACAGGAAAGCCTGTCCAAGGAGCTGATTTTTTTCTTCTGTAATTTTACACATTTCTTACCGTTCTTTTATTTACTACAGCAGCTTTTGTTTGCCCTGTGGAAAGACTGAGACAGACTGCTGGAACTGAACTTCTTTTTCTTGTAATCAGGGATTAAAAGTGTCGTTAAACTTCTTTACACTGACAAAAAGGTCCACTGGTCCGGCGGACTTAAGATTAATGTGGGCTGCATGTGGTCCACAGTATAAAATAAGTTTGACATTCCTGCTTTAGATAACATGCAAATAGCTACGTAACAACGCTGCTAATGTCAGCTCTAGTTTTACCCATGCACTTTGTTTTAAAGTTTTAACAAACTGTCACATTGATACTCAGACTCAACATTATTTCCTTAATGAAATAGTTTCTCTTTTAATGATACAATAAACAAAATAAAGATGAAGAAATAAAAAAATTATAAATACAATAGAATAATTACATATTGCAGAACATGAAACAGAATCTGGAACAGATGAATCACAAACCTTTGCCTTTGAAAGCATCAGAACGGTGAAATGTTTTCCAATTTTTAGCAATGAGCTCAAAAATACAGGGTAATAGTATGGTTTCTCTGAAACCCCGTGTGCTGGACTTAAGAGCTAGAACAAAGCTGTCTGAGGTGTCTCACACTGTCATGTAACCAGCATTCCCATCACGTACAGAGGCATTCATTTCCCACACGGACATTTAGAAATGGATACATTTTCATTTAACAAAGGACTGAGATGTTCAGTGTGAAAGAGCATCTGGACCATCATGGATTACCAACAGATGTACATAAACATTTGCTGAACATAAGTTTAAAACGTCCTGTGGTGAAGCTCTGGGCTCTTGACTTACAAACAGAGATAGCCTTGTGCTAATGCAGCTACTCTGGCAGCAGGTCGTCTCCTAGCTCTTCATCTGCAAAGTCGTCATCCTCCACACGCTTCTTGACTCCCGTCTTTGGTCTGTCCATCTGAGGCCCCAGTGGGTCCACGTAGGACGCATCTACACACAGGAGGAACAGCTTGTGATGAAATAGTTTGGGACACTGTATCTCGATAGAGACATAATAACATAACATTATACACCCTTTCTACCAATGCCGTTCTTTTTCTGTGTGTTTTTCTCCAGGAGCGCTGCAGAGTGAGATCGTGTGCACAGACAATTTCACTGCATTTTTTGGCATTCTAAATAGTTAGATGAGTTAAGATAACTTTCAACATTTAAGTCTGCACAGGTTCATATTTTAAAAACACTGATATAAATATTACTCTGTTCCATTTTTAAACAGCTGCAATGAATTGCATTTAAGGATACATTATTCAAGTTGTTCTTTTCCCTTATACTCAGTGACCCTGCTCTGTTTGTGGTGTGCCACTGCTTGGCTGAGTTGCTGCGGTTGCTAAACTGACTTGTTGCAATGGTGGCATCCTATTATAGAACGTCTCATTTATGCACAAATGTTTGAACAGGCAGGCTGCACGGCCAGGTGCTAGATTTCATACATCTGAGGCAAAGGGACTTACAACACCTGAATTCAAAGATTAGAGGTGCGGCCCAATACTTAAATGACAACCCATGCAGTTTATCTGCAGAGGACTATCCGCTGTGTGCTGCAGACAAAGAAAAACCTTTGATAATATCTTTATGATCATCTAAACCTCAGAATGTGTTTCAACATGGGCTTGAACTCTAAACAGATACACGAATACAGCTCTTTTCTACTTTGCTGGACCATTCAAAGACCTTTATAGAATTCAGTCACCCATTCACACAAGCACTTTTTTCTATGCCTGAGTGCTTTTCGATCTTTTCCTATCTAACATTCACACTACAGCTCACTGCGACTCATAATGTGGATGGCTAAATTATCAGAATTTCAGCCATCCATGTAGATGATGTTCCAGCACTAAATGAAATGAAACTGCACTAAGATGTCCATAAACCATCTGTGTGATTATATATTTACTCATATTTTTCTAAAAAAGGCACATATGTCTTGCACAACACATGAAGTTCAAAGACATAAGACAGTTAGGTAGGTGTTATATCATTAACTGCAGAGAAAAATATGGTTTCCTCACCCAGTTCTTTTGGACTGCTGGCTTCATAAGGCTCATTTGAACCAGGAAGTGACCTCATTTTGGCGCTCAGACGCTCTCCTTTGGTGCTGCTGCTGCTGCGACCACTGTCTGTACAAAAACAAGCACACACCTGCTGACTCATGATCTTTTTTTAAAAGCAATACTCACATTCAAATCCTATTAAAAGCTGTTTAAATGTTTAAGCTGTTTAAAACAGCAGTGCCTCTGACTGTGGCCTGCATGTGACTGAATATAGACGTGCAAAGTTTTCTTGCACACTTTCACGTACAAATGTCTTTTTCATGGCCCAAGTATCTCGCTGACATTGGCTGAATGTGTGCAGAAAAAGCATTCCTCCAATGTGAAATCACAGTCGCTAAATATCACTGACATGTACAACTTGCTGTACAATAATGGACGATTTTTGTGAAAGGCATGGCGCGGTCGAATATGCCTACTGACCAGCTGCTAAAATGCAACACTAATATGCAACACACTCAGGTACTTTTGACAGGATGTAATGAATATGCCGGATAATGTGCACGTGTGTGTTCCAGGCTTATATGACAGGCTGACAGGGCCGTGTAGAGATATGAATTACAGACATGACTGCAGACAACAGCAGCCAACATCTGGCTGCCAGGTAGCCTTGGAAACCTTAGGGGATCAGCAGCAGAAAGCTGAAAAACAGGAAGGAGGCCTGATATTCCACCTTCCCCTCATAGTCCCAAAAAAATCTCACAAACTGCTGGCAAACTGAGACCTCGGTTGGAAAAATCAACGTTTCCCCCTGGCTTCCTTTCTTGGACAGTCTCGTTTGCATTTCTCTTTTAGTTTACACAACTCAGAGACGTGTACTAGAGGGATAACAAAACATGCTAGAAGCTAGGAGCTGCAACAGAAGTTTCCACAATTAAAGACGTTATAGGCATGTTTTATACAACTCTGAAGCACAAATAACCCTTTATTTCTGCAAGGAGATGGAGATCAATAGAGATGACGCAACATTTTGGCTTTTATAACTATTTTTTCTTATTAAAGATATGTTGAAAAAAATGTTAAGGTACATTAACATAAACCCAACCATATAATTTATGTTTGAAAAGGCACATCACACATGATAGAAAACACAGGTTAGAAAATCCCCACGTTTCGACACACTTCTCTCCTGTTCTGCCACTGCGTTTCACCAGATTCAGACTGCAGATCGACAGCTGTGGATACGTGAGAAAACAAACCACCAGACTCACACGTCAGTCACGAGAGAGCCGAAGACCTGCAGACACACTCGACCACACAATACGCAGACTTTACAGAAAAGATGGAAAACTCTCAGGTGAACGAGAGGGTTTTCCCCGAATATCTCAGAGCCGTCTAAGTGCTCGCTCCCCTCCTCCTCCTCCTTTCAGTGCAAAAAATGAGCACAGTCCAACATCACGGCTGCCTGTCAAACGATTCCTGGATCAGGTCCGTTTTTTCTTCTTCACTTGGGAAACTCACTTCTGCTATGCGTGCCTTGCAGTGCTTCACTCAGATGGTTTTAATCACTTAAAAGATTTCTAATGACAGGAGCTCTTATAAAATGAAAAATAAAATAGTTCTGATGCTAATGCTCCATAGAAGAGAATCACCTGTATGTGCAGACACCTTTGCCTGACTGAAGAACTTTATCAGAGGTCAGCTTAAGATTTCACAGCAGAGACTGACAGTACAAACCTAAACATGCTGTTGCTGCTACACAGTTTCTCTTAGTCTAATTTATGTAAATTTTGCTGTTTTGGCTCTTAAAGCTCATTGGCAGGTGAGCTGACTGTGCATTTGAGGGCAAACTACAGATGTATCAACTTCTGAAACATCTCTACTCTATCTCTACTTTTAAGATTAGGCTTAAAACGTTCATTTTTGCTAAAGCATATAGTTAGGGCTGGATCAGGTGACCCTGAATCCTCCCTTAGTTACGCTGCAATAGGCGTAGGCTGCTGGGGGAATCCCATGATGCATTGGGTATTTCTTCTTCAGTCACCTTTCTCACTCATTATGTGTTACTGGACCTCTCTGCACTGAATCATACTTGTTATTAATCTCTAGCTCACAGATGGCCCCGCCCCTCCCTGAGCCTGGTTCTACTGGAGGTTTCTTACTGTTAAAAGGGAGTTTTTCCTTCCCACTGTTGGCAAAGTGCTTGCTCATAGGGGGTCATATGATTGTTGGGTTTTTCTCTGTATGTATTATTGTACGATCTACCGTATAATATGCAGCGCCTTAAGGTGACTGTTGTTGTGATTTGGCACTAGATAAATAAAATTGAATTGAATTGAATGAACCGATCGAACAAACAAGCCCCAGTTTATTCAACAATCTCCTTGTTTGACTACAAATGGCCAGAATTACAGGCACATAGCCTGAAAGTCATAGTCTTACATACCTCTCCCCGAGTCCAGCAGTGGACTGAAGTGTTTAGACTCAGACTGAGATACTGGGAAGCAAAGAGGAAGCAGAGAGGGAATACAGATGAAGACAGAAGATCCAGAGAAGAAGATGAGAAGGAAGGAGAGATTACAGGGCTAGACTGAAGGTCTTACAGCACAGAGAGTTGCAAAAAAGTCTGCCACTTGCAATGAAAGATGATGACAATAAATGTGTCTGCGGTTTACAACCTCGCTTCTCTCACCTGCTTTGACCTCATCTTGTGCACCATGAGAAAATGAGAAAAGGATCTGGGTTTTAGTTCAACAATTTAAACGTTCAAACCAATATTTAAGCATCTGAAAGACTGAAGTAGCAAGGCTGTGATGGACAGTCTCCAGCAACCGTGTGTGTTCATTTTAACAGATGCATTTGGAGGCTCTGGCACCACTAAGCTATGGGATGATGAAAAGTCCAAATCTAATTTATCACGACACAGAGGACTAATGGAAGCCTTGGCAGGAGAGAGCAGCAAGCGCATTAACAGGTGTCCGTTACACAAACTCATATATGAATACAACTCGACTACAGCATGGAAAAGCTGGGCCTTGTTACACTTTCTGGAGGCTCTCTGGTTTGTATGGATTACATTTGAAATTTGCTCATGGTCCAGCTTTCCAGTGCCAGCCTATTTGTCTGTATTTGGCGGGGATCTGTACTGAATGTTCAGCCTCTTCAGTGTCCACTAATCCCGCAGAGTGCTCAGACCTCCTCATCCTGCAGGATCCAGCAGGATGAGGAGGTCTGAGCAGATCAGGCCTCAGTGTGGTGTTTGAAAACATATACCCATAACGCTGGACTTCTTAGGAGAGATGAGCACAGGTGTGGAGATGCCTGCTGCAGCATGTGTGAACAACAGGTAGAGAGACAGAAAGAAGCAGTGAGACATAAAAATAAAAGAGTGGATCTGATGATCAAAATCATGACGATGATCGTTGTTATAGAAGAAGCATCAGAACCATTACAATTTTTTATGAAAATCATATTTATGTGAGCAAACTTCTCATATGTTAAAATCTTGGTTTAGCTCAAGCTGCCATGAAAAAAACCCGACGCCTAATAAAGTTCACAGATGTTCCTGTACTGTATGTTCATTTAACTTGAAATTACACCAAAACCCACACATGGAGATGGTTTTCAATGTGAAGATTTTTATAGATGTGCCTCATTCTGCGAGCTCAGTGTGCCTTTTGTGTTGCAGTACAACACAAAACAAGCGTAAGTTCAAATCCTTAATGATGTAAGGTCTGAGCACTCTGAGCAGAGAGAACAAAGATAGAGGACATGGAGAGCACAGTCTGTGGACAGATGCCACAGACAGATGTGTGGCTCTCTGTCTCTCTGCTGGCTGATTTGGGGGATCCACAGTTGTCTGATGCCACGTCACCAGCACAGTTACATACTTAATGACATCTGCATTGTTAACACCGCAGCACAGATACAATGGGGTAAAGTAACTATCTGATCACCTGCTGAATCTGTAAGTTTGCTTGTTTCCATGGAGACACACAGAATGTCAACAAAATCCACGAAAAACCCCAACATTATATAAAAGTTATAAACTGATTTGCATGTCACTGACTTAAACAAGTATTTGATCCTCGAGCATAACAGCTACTAAGTACTTGATGGTGAAACCCTTGCCTTGGCGATACGTTTTGGGTCATTGTCATGCTGGAAGATCCATCCATGACTCATCTTCAGTGCTCTGGCTGAGGGGAGGAGGTTCTCATCCAAGATTTTACGGTACACAGCCCCGTCCACTGGCCCCTCGGTGCAGTGAAGTTGTCCTGTGCTCTTAGCAGAAAAACAGCCCAAAGCACAATGTGTGCTTGACTGTGGGGATGATGTTCTTTGAGTCATGCCCAGCATTACATTTCCTCCAAACACAGAGGGTTGAGTTGATGCTAAAGAGCTTGATTTTGGTTTCATCTAACCACAGCACTTTTCCCCAACATGATTTAGACGTTCACTGGCAAACTCAAGACTTGCACAGCCTTCTTGAGCAAAACGACCTTCTTGAGCGCTGCAAGATTTCAGTTCATTACAACATAGCGTGTTACTAATGGTGTTCTTGCCGACTGCGCTCTCAACTGCCTTCAGATCGTTAACAAGCTCCTCCCATGTAATATTGGGGTAATCCACCGCCTCATCACCATCCTCACTCCATGAGGCAACATCTTGCATGGAGCTGCAGACTGAGGATGACGGATGGTTATTTTATGTTTTTTCCATTTCCAAATAATCACACCAGCAGCTGTATAAGCTACAGTCATGTAGCTCATTCCAGTCTTGTGCAGGTTTTGTCCCTGACAACCTCTGACAGCTCTCCGGCCTCACCCATGGTGGTGGTGAGCCTGGAATGGAAGAAGCTGATTCTGTGGACAGGTGTGCTTTATACACAAACTGAGCTCAGGAGTATTTGTAATTTATTTGATCCCAATCTGTGAGAGACAGAATTCTGTTGCAGTTGTAGGGATCAAATATTTCTACTCAATAACATGCAAATTAATTAAACTTTTATACAACTCTGGTTGATATTCTCTCTCTTTCCATTAAACTACCATAAAATTAGAGACCGTTAATATCTTTCTAAAGTAAGCAATGGGGATCAAATAATTATTTACACCACTATAGGTTGATGATGTGTGGACGCACAACTCTGGTCTCAGTTGCAAATAACAGCGGCGGTAATCTGTTGACCTAATTTGAAAAACAACAACCGACTCACCAGCGCTCCCTGCACTGCTCTCTCTGCCTTCTCTTCGACTTCTCGCGCTGCCTTCCCGTCCCGATTTTATCCTCTGCAAAGGAAAATAAGAGAAAAGGGTGGCGTATGAGAGAAATTGCGGGCAGGGACACAAATAACACTAAATATGTTCTAAATGTGTTTGACTTCAAAATGTAGTTTTGCCAATCAGATTACAGCGCTTCAAAAAACACTGTGCTTCATAAACAAAGTACATTTTTTTGCTATGAAAACAATCTGGCAAAAAGATAAGCCCCAATATTCAAAGGAATGTGACATTAATGCGCAAAAAATATTACATACCATAAAAATGTTACATGTAAACAAGCCTTACTTAAAGTCAGGGAAGTACTCAGCAGAATCACTAAAACCATAAGCAGTTAGTTTTAAAGATGATGACAAAAAAAGGAAAAGAAATGAAAACAAGGATATATGATGCCACGAAAAACAACCACACAAAGCCAACGTCGAGCTCATATATTAGATTTCGGTTATTGCTATCCTCTCAGTCCTCGTGTCATGCACCGTGCAGTTTGTTTTATCAGTGGGATCGGTTGTTTTCCACTGTTTTTCAGTTTGAAGAATCCGGGGATTAACGAGTCAACCCTCCATCATTCTCTGCAGGCCTGTTTCTCTGCTCCAACAGCAGCTGGTTGTTATTTGACGAACTCATCGGTCTAATCTGTTCCTGGCTTTGATAAATCACTCCACACGACCAAGACACACGGCTCTGTTACTCTGGCTTTCTTCAAATCTTGACTGACCCCAAACCACCTCTAGTTTATGTATCACAAGTGTGTTGTTTAGAAGCCATTAAATAATAATTACATATAAGGAACAATGCATTGCAGAAGTTATTCAAAATATGCAGTGTTAGCTGATAAGATCAGATTAGAAACAAGCACACATTGTTGGCCTATGTAATAATGTGGTTCCATGACTTGGGTCTTGAATTAATCTAGGCTTAGATTGGGAAAGAAAACACGGGCTTTATGCTAACCATGACAGAAGATAAGAATAATCCCTTTGGCTGCTTATATTCAAACCACTGACCACTTTTCTAATTCATTCTGACGTTTCATGTGACACTGAACAAGTCAAACTGCACTGGCATCAGACCTGAGAACAGCTCTCCAAACACTAAAGCCGTTTTGAAAAAGACCCGAGATTACTATCAGCCAGGTGTTAAACAGCTGTGCAGCATCTGTTTGATTCATGGAAAATAAATAGAGACGAAAAACAGCTGTTTTTCATGCAGCTGCAGAGTTGCAGTGACCACGGTCCAACGTTGCATCTAAAGGAAACGCGCGTTTTAAATCAGCGAGCACTCATCCAGGAACAGACGTCAGGACTGTTAAAAAAGTGATGAAAAGATGATTGATGAAAGTGTCTGAAAGGTCTCTAATGTACAAGTGCAAAATACGCAAGTAATTCATCAGGCAGCATGTTAACATGCATCAGATGGACCCACTTGTACATTACATCACAAAACAAGGTGGAGTGTGTGGAGTTTAATTCATGCAAATAGATCTGGGATGTTGTTCCTGGGATCTGCTGGAGCCTACCTTGGGGGTCACTGCACCAAGCGCTCCGATTACCACTCGGACCACTTATTATGAGCCCTTGGTACTTCTCCAGCTTCCCATGTTCCTTCTTCCAGACATTGTTGTCAATCTGTATAGCTACATCTATCACTACGGCCGTCTTCTTCTGCTTGTCTACCACCACTATGTCCCACAGGATCTTAGCTCAGCCATTCTCCACCACCCTGGGGGGCCATGCTTGGCACATATGTTTCTGTACACTATGCCGGCCACTTGGTTATGGCGTTCCATGTATGCCCTGCCTGCAAGCATTTTCCACCCTGCTGTAATGTGCTGGATTGTCTCAGGGGCATCTTTACACAGCCTGCAGCTGGGGTCTTGCCTGGTGTGATAGACCCCAGCCTTGATGGATCTATATGTTATAAATATGTGTGTGACCATTATTAAAAGTCAATTCCATTTTATTTCTATCTTTGTTAGTGAACTTTTTGTGGGGGGGTTTCTGCAAATTGTTTGCAAGTCTTTTTTTTTATTAAATGTAGAATTGAGATCTGCCAAACAGATCATTAGTTTATTTACCCAGAAAAGTCTGACAGAATACCTGCTCTCTGATTTCCTTCATCTTCTCTACCTTCTTCAGTTTGGTGGCGTAGTCTTGGACTTCCTTCAATTGCATATCTGTGCACAGCCGCACCAGGAAACGCAAGCCTGCACCAAACAACACACACACACACACACGCTCTTTAATTTTACACTCTGATCAGGGCACCATCTGTTGCTGGTCAAGAGTTCCGTTGAAAACTGCGTAACAAGCTGGATCAATTACATTCCACATTTTCTGGAAACTTTCGGTGGATTTCTTTATACGTTTCCAGTGCTTTCTGGGAGTTTCCTGTGAAAGAGGAAAAGAAAAAGAACAAAAAAATGAAATGAACTCTGCTAGCTCACATTGCAACTTTGCTTTGTTGTTTTATTGCCATGCGAGCTGAGGCGAAACGTGTTTTTCTCACCACTTCGTCTGTAGCAGCTTGCCACCATTAGCTGCCACTTCACCTGAGTTGGTCTGAGAAGCAGAAACACATCTGATCAATATAAACACAAACCAATACCTGACTTAAATCATTTTGCTGACCTCCTAAGGACTGCTCAGAACATATCAGTATGCCAGTACCACACTGAAATAGTTAATATATTTTAATAAGTGATACCACGTAACAAAAAAGGTGGAACTATGTGCCTCAAGATTAAACAACTTGAAACAACTTCACTAATTTTTTCTGCAACAGTTCCATATAAAACGAGAGGCTTTCACATTCATTTAAGTTAGAAACTCATTTAAAGGGCTTCCATAAAAACCTTAGAGTGTGAACTTACAATTTTTTACCAACCCATCCGTGCTATCTGTTTAAAATAATCTAAATAGTAGTTACTTACTGTATTAGCGTGGCTCTTTCAAAGTACTGAATGGCTTTCTCACAGAACTGTGTCTCAATGTAGTAAGCTCCGAGCCACTCAATCACATGGATGTTGGAGGGAAAGTACCTAAAGGACTGGACAGCAACAACGTAACAATATTAGTTTGCTTAAAGTAGTGGTGTCAAAAGTAGGGCCTGGGGGCAAGGATCAGGACAGCAGAGGGTCCAATCCGGCCTGTGTTTAGATAATGTGAAGAAGGGCATAAATCTTTTACTTTTATCTGCACTTTGAGAAGTTTTACAGCCTTTTGTACTGCTAAATATCTCCATCATGGTCATTCATACTACTCTAACATAATTAACTAACAGATGAGCAAAAAAGTGACAAAAAACAAACAAACAATTTTTTCATTGTACAAATTTCTGTTTTTTACAATGGGTCCACAGACAAAAATGTACTGTTAACAGTTGTAATTTAGTGCAATTTAGAGAGAACCCCCCCACCCCCACCATGAAATTAAGCTTCTGGTACCTCATAATAGTACTGGAAAGCCTGGGATTTGTCCCCCTCGCCATCATGCAGTTCTCCCAGCTTAGCCAGTGCCTGGGCGTCTGTGGGAGTTACACTGATGACCTGCATTAGCCACTCGATTGCTTGTTCGGGATTTTCCAGAAGCTCATAGCTGGGATCAAAGTGTTAAGAACTAATAGATGCTCATGTGATGATATATGGACAAACAGGCTCGAATCCCTGAATGAACACATTCCAACAAACCCTAAAGTACATACGAGTAAAAACAGATCATCTGTGTGACATACAAACGCATCATTAGAACCTGTCTGACACAGTATTTTTAAGACTATATCAGACTATATACTGATATTTGGCGATTTAGAACTCAGATATTCCAATATATAAAATATGTTTTCTTTCACACACAGCAAAGAAACCAAACAGATTTATGTTTAGGAGTAAAGGCTTCTTTACTCTGCTCAGGTCAGCTGGTTTTTGTGTTTGTGTCTTTCTAAATATGTTGTTGGCAACAGGGGCGTCGTATGGTGCCCCCTGGTGAACAAACTATGCAACATCAATGGACTTTGACACTTTGTAACAGCATTTCTCTCGTGTCTTCTTTACTTCTCTAATTTTCATTGATTGTCTGTTACAAATGCCAATAACAATAGAAGAACAAATAGCTAATATTGGGCGATTGTACTGGCCCGCTGATAAAACCATCTCCACATCACACTTGTTAGCAGCGGGATACAGGCTGGCCAGCTGGTACATGACTTGGGAACTGTTCCTCAGAATGGCATGGAGCTTCAGGAAGCAGTCCAGAGCCTCCTCTAGGCGATTCAGTCTTTTATAAGTCAGACCTGGAACAAGGTTTAGGGGAAAATTCAGTCACGTAACTGTGCCTCTATGTTAATAATAATCACACAAGGCACATATATACCACATGTTGGTGTAGTTTTATTCCAGCGATACCTTTTACTTAAGATGACTTTAAAATTTGGATGCTGTTGTTTAAAGAGCTACCATGTCTGTGAATACGATAGCTCCAAAGGTTTTGAATGAATTCTGATAAAACTTTGTATAGGTGTAGAGTCGAGTCATATTAACAAACCATTTAAGTTTCGTTAACATCAACCAAGGTCTTCAAGGTGAACTTAAAGATTTATTGGCTGAAAACAGACCAAAACACCTGATAAGTTATGTTAACTATAACTGAATAACTGAAACTAAGATTCTGACAACTGTGGTGTGTATTGTCAACAGAAAGTACCCATGAAGCTTTCAAATATCATGTCTCATTTGACCTCTGACCTCTCTTTTAAGGTCAATAGCTTGATCTGAAGGTTAAAGTAATAACAGTAGATAGAGGTAATTAAAACTATTTTTCTTACTGCAATTGTTTGTATTAAAAACATTTATAAAATGGTATATGGGAATTTTAAATATCACATTATGGTTTGCATCCAAATATGTCACATTTGACCTCTGACCTCAATTTTGCATCTGCCTTTCTTTCAAATTGACCCAAAAATGCGTACTATCTTTAAAGAAAGTATTGTCAAGAGAAAGAAAATGAGCTGCCTACTTGGTTAGAAACATGCTGTAGTATATTATTATATAATAAAATAAGGTTATTTGTGTCCACGTATTGATAAATCAATGCCAATTATCCATTACCTATTCCTACATAATCTTTAAACACAAAATACAATACAATTAAAAGTAAATACTTCGCAGAGAGTGAGCTGCCCTGGGGGAGGTTTGTGCTCAAAGTGCTTCTTGTTATTTATGTATTTGTGCACATTCCAATAGAGTCGGTCATGCTGTGTCCACACTTATTCTCAATGTAGCCTCAGCCAATATTCTGATACTCATAGCAGAATGCTGGATGAAGATACACAGAGATTTAGACAGGGCACTCATGGCCTCACTATATTTTCCTAACAGTCAAGAGTCTGAATTTAAAGTTCAACCAGTGCTTGCAGCAAATATTAACAGACCGCAGTTCAGAGTGCAGCAAGCTCTTGTTGTTCATTCCCAAATGATTCTTGCACGTCCAATTGTTGTTGAGCAATACATCAAACCTCCTGCTTATCTACTACCGCATTACTGCTGCAGTTAAGGAGCACTTACCTAGGTTGTAAAGGCCTTCGGTGCACGAGGAATCATTCCTCAGTGCTTCTTTGTAGAACTCTGCAGCCTTTTCAAAGTCCTGTTTGACAAACACCGTGTTGCCCTTGTTGATAAGCGCTGCTGGGTTGTAACGATCAGCATTCATAGCAAGGTCGGCATATCGGTCAGCCTGGTCGTGGTCTTTCTCCTGTTAGGGAAATTACAAGACAAGAGAATATGGTTGTTCAATCATCTCCCAACAGTAACATTTAGTATTACATTTCTTTAACAGCAAACCTCCAAATATTTTGCTGATTTTAAGTGTTTTAAATTTTCAGAACTTTTCAGTCTAATGTTATTTTATAATCAAGAGATTCTTACCAGAAAATAGAGGAAAGAGAGGTTAGTGGCTGCAGCGCTCTTCACTCTGCTGTCCTTCTTCTCAAATGCCTTCAACGTTTCCACTGCCTGAAAACACACAACTCATTACAATCAGGAGCTGTACTAAAGCTCCTCCAGTACAGCATTCTCAGTAATAAATCATATTTTAAGTACAAGCATATTTCCCCAGCATGTAACACACAAAGAAACATAAAAAAGACATATAAATTTACTGAATTGTTAGTCAAAGAATCAACGACAATATTATTAGCCATTAATAGCCAATCACTGATAAATTATATATACATCTTCACATTTATGGTGAAGATACTTGGACATTTTGGCATTTTTTTTAGGTAAGCTGTAATTCTGCTTCATTCCTTACATCTGTTTATGCGTCACCTTCACTGTGTGCTGTGCTCTGGTGAAGTAAATATAATGCTTTGCAAGTTTAAAGTCAGTCCCTCTCCCCTTTTTATCTAACTGACTGTCTCTGTGAGTATGTTACATTCTGGGGAAAATTTCCCAACTGTATTATTGAGTAAGGATTAGCATTTTCACAAATCACCAGCTTGGCTACAGCTGCACAGATGACCACCAGTTACATCACCAACACTCCTGTGTGTAAACACTGTAAAAGCACCACAGCATGCATCAGATGTAAAACCAGCGGCTACAAGATAGTTAGTTACTACAGTGAGTCCTTTAATCTTAGCCACAAATCAGCTCCACACATGGCAGCATGTCCTCCACTGTTCAGTTGGATATTATTATTAACAAAGAATACGTTCAGCACAAAGATTTTCCTGAGCAGTCTGTGAGGCCTAAACCAATAACTGCCTCACAAACGTCTCCTTGCAGTGGCATTATTTGGGTAAAAGACGTCCTTATGAAGCAACAAGTCAAGGGGGACAAACCCAGTACAATCTAAATGTGGACGTGGGAATGGAAGGCAGACATACCTCAACCTTAGGCATGCAGATGGGGAGGAAACAAAAGCAAAAAGGCAATGAGAAGATGAAATACTGAGTCGGACACTGAGCTCTGTTCAAACAGCCTCAACAAGAGAAAACTCACACGTATGAATAGTGCTGAGTAACAGTATTACAACATTGTTATAAAAAGAAAAGAAAAGATGGAAACACAAATTAATGTAAATGTAATGTAACTTCCATAAATTTAATGCGTGTGATCCTTACTTAATCGCATCGACTTTTTCGGGTTCAGCATTATATTTGGCAAATATTACCAAAGATATCAATTTACATGACAGCCACATATGATGGAAGCTACTAAAGCCTCATTTTGATGTCTTATTATGGTCTAAAATTTAGTTTGGCAGCAAATTATTAAGAGTGGAAGGTGTGGTTGTAAAATACACAGACCAGAAAAGAAGGAAGTACCCTTAATGCTGCTGATACAAGACTCTCACCTGGTTGAAGTCCTTCTGTCTGAGGTAGGTGATGGCTTTGTTGATCTCTAAATCATTGGCAAGCTCGACATACTGAGAACTCTTCACCATGTCGACACACCTTAAAAAAAAAAGAAAACATACATTCACTATCTTCACGTGTCAAATGCCAGCATTTGATTGATCACTGTAAATAGCAGGTGCATAAATGGAGAATAATTAAGCAATTGTTTGATTTTGACTTATGTTTCTCAATATTGAAATGGTCCTCTCCAACATACTAATGTGCATTAGTGCACATTAATGCACATGTCGAGTACTTTGACGAGTACTCAACATGTATTATCTTCATTTAAAAACCTAAATAAGAAAGGATTAGGGAAAAAATTGTTGAAATAATAGTAGAGCTTGAGGTTTATTGTCAGTCTGCTCCAGAAAAATGTTCAGAAAATGTGATCAAACTAGTGTGCAGAGAAGTTTAGGCAAGTAAAGGAACTTTGGAAAGTCCCTCACACCACCACTAAAGAAACGAGAGCCACTGGAAGACTCAAACAATTAAAACCTTCTTCTTGTTACAATCTCCCTCTAAGGGCAGTCTTTGAGCTTCTTCTTTTTTTTTTAAAAAACGTTCAAGCAATCAAGTTGGGACATTTATGTAATTGTAAATGAACTGTAATTATACCACAGTTAGGCACTGTCACAATTTTCAGTTATTCAATGACAAACAAACATACCATGCTCACATTAAAGTCTTTAGATGCAAAGAAAAAGACAGCAGTAACAAACCAGTCAAATCCAGTAGCAAACAAAGTCTCAATCGCTGGGGCAATGAGCTTGGCTGCTGTCATGATGTATTTCTCAGCCAGGGTTTTTCTATGAACAGCATACAGGAAGTCAGAGGAACAGCTGAATAAAGGGGGGGGGG